TTTTAAATTGAACATTATATCAATGTAAAAGAAGTGAATCCTCTGCTCGAGTTTTGTTTTTGTTTTCTTTTGGCTCAGTCAGCTTCAATTAATAATTTAAATTTATATTTAATTTAAATTTAAAGCCTTGAGTTTTGCCTTGGGCGCGTGAAATGGAGGTTATTCATTTATTTTATTGTTTTCAAGGGAATGATGCAAAATCTTAGGCGTCTTTTGAACTTTGCTAACAAATTTGAATTTGAATTTGAATTCGAATTCGGATGGGTTATCGTACACGTGTGTGTGTGTAGCTATGAATATGCATGTGTGTGTGCGGCTGTGTTGGTATAAGCCAAGCTGAAACGCACTTCGTGTTAGCCGCGTTAACGAAGATGGATTCCGTTGTTGTTGCTTTTTGAGTGTTACCTTCGTGCGATTTGGATTGTTGTTGCGTTAAAGTCGGGATGGCCTCGTCTCGACCTCGTCCGCGTCCTCATCGCCATCGTGGTCGTAGTGGTCGTGGTCGCGGTCGTCCTGGCGCAACTCTATGTGTGTATTATTATAATGGCGAAGTCATTAGAGCCATTGCATAGCCTAGTTTTGGGGCCTACGTCTAATACGTGCCCAAGTCACACACAACACAAAAGGGTGGCATTAGCACGCACAACAACTGCTACAATAACATCGGCCGAAGCTGGTTTTGCTAAAACAACGGCAAATACTTTTTATGCCATTATTCTGTTTTCTTTTTCATTCTGTTTTTTTTTTTTTTTTGTATGTTTTTCAGGATTGTGCAAGTCTCTAATTACATTTCACTTGCACCGCCATCAAATGCCCCGAGTGGGCGCTTGTTGCGTTTGCAGTTAAACTCTCTGGAAAGGTTACTTGCCACGCCCACACGACACGCCTACAGTGCTTAAATTACCAATTTTACCAATCAGCATTTGCATATCGGAAATTTTCGCAAACGGCCACCAAAGGACCTTGTAGAAGACTGTATACTGCGGGCTTAGTCTATATGTATATATATGTATATATGCTGTATACGTATGTATTTCGGCTATCCAAGTAATACCCTCTAGGGATCGAATTTGTCAACCTGTACCCCGCTATCGGCACGATAATCTGGTTATAAACGATTGTTTTGATCGCTCTGACATCAAAGCCATTTGCCCTCCACTACACGTGAAGCATTTAAAACCTTTTGCTACTATTTGATATTCACCCAAGCAAGTGAAATTAATTTTACACGCTAACTAAATATAGTGAGCCAAATGCTATACATTTGCGTATTAATTAGTCTCGATTTTCGGGCTGTGGTTCCTTTGACTTGGCTCTATTCGGAATTTTTCTTATTTGGTGCTATTTACTAAAACTTTTCCATATAAAAAGGACTTTCTGTTCAATTAAATTTCTTGAGTAAAACTCAAGCAATTTCTTTCATCTAATAAATAAACCTAAAGCCTTTATATTTACAGACATAATTGGCAAATCTAAATTAAATTTAAAGAATATCAAATCTCTCATTTATTTGCAAGAAAGAAAATTCTTTCATACTTTAACACTGCTCATTCGAGATCCTATTGAAAATGGGATGCAAGAATAGCTGATATAGACTGTATATTCCTGGGAATGACCTTCATTACTTGTAATATTAAAATTTTGGGCTTATGGTTTTGTTGACATAAAATTTCTGTAACTTGAAATTTGTAATCCAAGTTAAGCATGAATATGCGACTATTAAAATAAAAAGACTAAAAATTTGACGTCCCAATTATTTGTTATGCTCTCTTATTTATTCACCAAAATTTAAATTCATATTTCTCTGCTCTTCTGATTCTTATAAAGATATACATATGTAATAATACTCTTATAATGAGAACAATTGTAGAGCCGAGTAACAGGGTAAAAATGGTTAGACTAGGTGTGATC